TGATGACTCTCAAGCCCCTTGGAAGGTGCTGGAACACAGCTTCCTCCGTGCACACAGGAGGACCAAGGGCCGAAGCCCTCGGAGGAGGAGGAGGGGGTCTTGGTGAAAACCCAGGCCCATGCGAAGGGCTCGTGCCAGTTCGCAGACTGCCTCATTATCCCTCCATAATAGGATGGGCCCAATTCAAATCCGATCAAGTTGTTAAATACAAGAGAAGAAAATAGAACACGTCAGGGATTTTTTTGTGTCTATGAATCATTAAAAAAAAATCCAGGTATAATGGAGCATTGTTCACCATGCCAGACTAATGATGTCCTCTAAAGAGAGGAAGAAAGGGAAAATTTCATCATCAGATATGAAGAGAAATAATTAACTGCTTTCTCTCCACCTGCCTTCGTCAGGGAAGCGGACGTTCCAATTAGCAACTTCAGCCTGGAGCCTCTGGGTTTGGAGGGCCATGGGGAAGGCGTCACGGTGCGGATCCTGTAGAGACTGGCCGGGCATCGAGGGGCTTCCGCAGCAATTCTGCTCCTCGGCGCAGCGTGCTTATTAAAATGCTTCACAGTCATAAGCCACCTGGCTGCTTCGAGGCTCAGCAGCGTGGGGAAGAGGAACAAAACGTGGGGAGAAATGTGGTTATTTAGATGGTGCTGGCCTTTGACAGGTAACTGCTTAATTAGCTCAGCTCGCACGATGGTGACTTCCACTCATCCGATTCAAATAGCTTGTTGTTGCTATGGGTTCTTTAACGTGGTCCATTATAAGCAGAATCTTGTGTTTTGATCTTGATCGCTTGGCCAGATTTAGTGAGAAAGCTGAAAATGGGAACTCAGGCACCAGGCTCAAGTCGTACAGTAGTGGAGGGGCCAGGAACCTGCCTGTGGCCACCGCTTCAGCCCCAGTTTTGGAAGCATTAACTCCCGCCATGACTTGCGTCCCTTGGAACATCTCTGACTTTGGGGAATGGAGCCTATGTGCCCACTGGGCTGTTAGGAACCTGAGGTCTTGCCTTGGCCACCCCCTCCCCCCACCTGGCAGCACAAGTCCCACATGCTGCATGTTACCCCGTCTCCTCTGCCGGGACTTCAGCTCACGCCTGAACTATCAGAGTGGCTCCTAACCAGTTTCATTTGCTCATTCATTCATTCATTCATTCAACAAAAAGTAATTAATCAGACTTTCCTAGACCGCCTCAGCCACCCACCATACAGGTACAAGTGACCTTTCCAAAGAATAAACTGGCTGTTCCAGGTCCAGGCTTAAAAACAAGAAAAAGATGAATTGGCTTGCTATCACTTGAAAAAAATCTCATATAAGATGAATTCTGAATGGTTTGAAATGTACATTTGCTACACGTATTTGAGGATTCTTCTGACCAAAACAAGCTTAGGTTCCCTTTAGCACAGATAAGCAAAAAGCGGTACCTTCCTCCTCCGCACGGGTTGTTGTGCGGAAAGTTAACTGCCCAAATTGTTCACATCTATGCATTAGACTGGAAGACGTTCCACAGCAGTGGTCTGAGTGTGGAAATGAAATCTTTTAAAAGGAAGTTGCTTAATGGAACTCTTAAGAGTCTAAGATAAAACTATGAAACTTGGAAGGATCTTTTGTTCTTTTTATATTATTTATGCTCAATGTATTGCTGCCTAATAGAACATATTAAGCTTTAATTCGTTGTATTAGTCAGTTTTCCCATTGCTGGATGCAAACACCCAACATCCACAACTTAAAGAAGGAGAAGTTTATTTGGCTCATGGTTTCTGGGGATTCAGTCCATGGTCAGCTGGCTGTAGGCAGGAGCATCATGGTGGAAGGGTGTGGTGGAACAAAGCTGCTCAGTTCATGGTGGCCCAGAAGCAGAGCAGGGGACAGCACCAGAGAGGAGGGGCCAGGAATCAGACATAGACTCCGAGGTTACACCTCCACCCCCCACCCGCATATGAGAAGTGTGCTTTACTAATCCCCTAGGCAGCATCCAAGACAATCAAGTTGGCAATAAACTTAACCATCAAAGTAATGTTAGTTATATTTGCTATTGATGATATTGCTGTTATTATTCCTATAAGATCCCAGAAACAGTCTAGTCTTCCTGCCTCTGAGCCATTTTTTTTCAATCCTTTTTGAGTACCACTCCAGTGCCTTCTTTGGAAAAGAGCATTTTTTTAGTAACTTCTCCCTCTAAGAATGGAACACCATGCTGCACTCCTTTTCCCGGCATTTAAAGATTCTCCAGCCATCATGGTCCTTTCCTTTGAGATCCCTTCACAGGCTCCCCTTCCCATCCAAACCAGGGTCCCTCATCCCAGGCACTCTTCAGTCAATCTGTTGCCTGGCACCCCACCATCTGCCATGGCAGGAGACCCCCAGGCATCATTTGAGTTGAACTTTTCTACTTGCTGGCTGCATTAGCAGGTGAGTCACACTCTCCGAGCCTCAGTTTCCTGAGGATCAAGCGAGACTGTACCTGCCCAGTGCCTGGCATGGAGTAGGAGCTCAGCAGATACCACCTCTTGTTTGCTGCTACAAAATTCCAGTCCACTACCCATTCCCATCCACACACGAATCTACTTTCCCACCTTCAGCTGACTGCAAAGCACGCTTGGACACAGGTCATGTCTTATGCCAATGCCAGTGCCCACGGGCGCCAAGCAAGGGAAAGAAAATAGGAAGAATGCGGAGGGGCGAGGACTCAGCCAAGTCCAGGACACATCTACATCTGGCCAGTCGTTGTCGAGTGGGAAAATGGGTCCGGTGCTGTCTGACTGCAGCGTTTTCTCACGAAGCCAAAAATCCAGTCCTGACCTGAAACACCCTGGAGTTTAGAAGCTGGGCAAATGCTGTTCAGGCCAAACAAAGCGTTCCCGTGAAGCCCTGGTTGGTGACTGCTGTTGCATGTTCAGATGTGCTGGGCTGGTCGCCAGGACCCTGCACTCCCTGCTAGAGAACAGTCTGCGGGTGGCAGGGAGGGCCCAGGCCAACTTCAGGATGATTTCCCTTCTCTGTGGGCCTCGCACGTAGGACAGTCCTGGGAAATCTGTTCTGTACGCAAAACCAGTCTCCTACAGGGAATCACATTTTGGGGTCCAATTCTGATGGTCGGGACACACACACTAGAATGTAAGGCCTCTGTTCTGTTTACCTTTGTTTCCTCGATGTCAAGAAGGCTGCCTGACACTCAGCAAATATTTATTGAATGAACAAGTGCCCGTTCTTCACCCACCTGTCTGCTAGCAAAGCGTCTTGCTCGCCATGATATCCCCAGCACCTGGTAGGTGATAAGAGATCAATAAATGCTTGTTGAATGAAGAGTGGATTGAAATAATCTCTCTGTTGGACACCTGTTGTGTGCCCAGGAAGATGTGGTCTGAGGGGCTCAGAAGTGACTCTCACACCTCCCAGCCTCAAGGTGTTTGGTCACCCAGGAAAGAGCACATAAACCACTTCTGGAACGGTTCTGAAACCCACAGGAGTTACTTGGTGTCCCTTCCCAGAGGAGGAGGGGGAGACAGGATGTTGGGACCGTGCGACACCAGGCTTCAGGTCTCCGAGGACCCCAGCGCTGTGCTCACACTTGAGGCTCGGCTATGAAATGACTAGACTGACTCCCCCAGCCACGCAGAATGGGCTGCATGGGCACTGGGCTTCCAAGCAGGCACCTTAGGAGGCCGTGTCCTCATTCCCCTTGAGTGATGACAGTGCTGGATGCTTCCTTGGCAAGTGCTCTCCAAGTGGGCAGCCACTTGGGGACATTTACATCATTGCTTTAGAATCCCTTTGAGCCCTCCCCAAAAATGTTTAGCAGAAGTTATTTGTCACTTTAGTCCCAAACTGGGTTCCAAATGGCTTCGGATTATCTGACTGATTTGTGTTCTGTTGGTGAAGTCACAGTGCAGTCAGTGCCCCAGATCTGAAGGCAGGGCCCAAAGGGGTGTCCTCAGACTGTCACAGGACACGACAATTTGTTGGAAGAGATTTTAACCGTTCAGTGTGTCTGTAGCCATGGAGGCAAGATTCATTCAGATGCTTAAGTTCTAGTGTTAAAAAAACCAAAATCATGCCTAGTTTTCATTTATGTCCCCAATGTCTAACACAGAGTCTGGACAGAGAGGTGCCCAACTGTGACTCATGGAGAGAAAAAATGGGTAATGACCAAGCCTAACCCTGCACAGTGCTTACCACACGTGTGCCAGGCGCTGCGCTAATGTGTCACATATCACCTGGTCTGATAGTCACAGGTGCCTTGGGAGGCCGCCACACAACAGCTCCTAAGGGAAACTGCATCCTGAGTTTACATACCCCACCCAAGGTCGCCATGCCAGACAGTGGGGAGGCTGGGATTTGAACCCCGTGGAAAGTAGATGCTCTCTCCTAAAGAACCTGTACCCTGTACTCTTCGACAGTGAGGGGTGCGGAGTCATTAATCCCTGTGTAGCAGAAGATAAGGTGATGGAAAATAACCAAGAGGTCAACCCCTGTTGGGGTCATGGAACCCCCTCTGGCTGGTGGCCTAGTGGCAGCTCTCCTTGGGCATCTGTTATCCCAGACAGTCCCTCTCCGCTGTTTCTGTCACCAGAAAGCTCCAAGGTGCTGAGGGCTCCACCCTCCGACTTCTGCCTATGAGCAACAGCACCCCACGCAGGCATGTGCTCAAAGCCTGGCTGGTGGGGGCCTGCAAGACCTTGTACAGCTTTCGGAGCTTGGTGGGATCTGACTCAACCAGAGTGCAGCCAGGCCCGTGACAGCACAGAGAGGAAGTGCGAGCTTGGGCTGGGAAAATGGCCTGGGCTCACACAAAGGGGGATGGGATTGTGTTCCCACTGACCTGCTCACTCTGCAGTGACCTCGGGCAGCTGGCTTTGTCTTCCTGGGCCCGGACTCCGAATCTGTAAGAAAAGGGTTATTTCCCAGGTCCGCCCAGGTCTGAGAAGGATGGAATGAATGGATGTTTCTTGCTTGGGGGAGGTGACACATGTTTTGCTCATTGGGCGATTTCTTCCTAGGCTGGAAGAAAACTATGAGATTGCAGAAGGCGTCTGCATCCCTCGCAGTGCCCTGTACATGCACTACCTGGACTTCTGTGAGAAGAACGACACCCAGCCTGTCAATGCCGCCAGCTTTGGGAAGGTGAGTCCGCCTGGCCAGGAGGCCCCGGCTGCCGACCTCTCAGCTTCCATCAGCGCACACACAGGGTTGGGGGTGTTTGGTAAGCGTTTTAAATACCTTGTTTGCGGGGGATATTTTGCAGCAGAAATTTTCAAGCAGTTGTCACAAAGCAATGCCAAAACAGAGCGATGCCAAAGTATTTGGTAATACTTTTTGCTGTAAAAATTTCCAACCATTCAAAGATGTTTTAAAGTAAGAAGCGGATGTACCAAGCACTTTCTTTTCTCGGAGATGGGAATTTTGAACTCGCAAGTGTACTAAATGACATCACCGAGCACGGGACAGTTGCAGTGTGAATGCTGGGAAGGGGCCTGCAGGTCCGGGGCCTCTGTTCGGGTTACTGCTGGTAATGTCGCCGCGGGCCCGGCTGTTCTCCGTCTACCTTCTGATGAAACCTAGTCAACATTTAGGGCTATGTGTACCCAAAACATTGTTAGCACTGGCCATTCCTATTGAACAGGCCAAGGAAAGCTGCCGAGCATTCTTTCAGACTGGTTACTTGTTTACCCAAAGGCTGAAAGTCTAGATTTTATACCCCAAAATGCCCAATTTAAAGTGAGTCGATAACTCTGAACTTCTTTTTATTAGCTTTTTTCCCTAGGTATAAATTTTACTGCATTTGCTAACAGGGAGTAGGCAGGCCTGTTCTGCAGCCCTGTTCTTTCCCATTAGCCCGTGTTTCTGCGCATGATCACATTCGCCGTGGAGAGTCGGTGCATGCACAGAGCAGCTCTTCATCCTTTTATTTCTCCTTCCCTCCCTCCCACCTACCTCTCAGTCCCCTTCCAATTTGCCAAAGATTGGTCTCCCTGTTTTCTCTCATCTGTCTTCTATTTTGCTCTTTCATTTTTTATTTTCTTTTATTTATTCTTTGTGTTTCTCCTATTAGAGGACTAGAGATTTATTTTACTTAACATTATGGTCTCAAGTTGCATTCATTTTTCTACCAATGACTCAAATTTATCCCTCTTTATGGCAGAGTAGAGCTCCATTGTGTGTAAATACCACATTTTCTCTGCCCAGTTATCTGTTGATGGGCCCATAGGCCATGTCCACAACTTAACTGTTGTCAGTTGTGCTGCTTTAAACATGCATGGATCGCTGTGATCTGATGTCTTTAACTCTTTCAGGAAGATACCCAGAAGGGGAATGGCTGGGTCAAATGGAATCTCTAGTTTCAGTTTTTTGAGGAATCCCCACAATGATTTCCATAGTGGTTGTACCGGTTTACATTTCCACTGACAAGGTAGAAAGGTTCCTTTTTCCGTGCAGGCTCGCCAGCATTTGTTATAATTTGATTTCTTGATGACGGCCAGTCTTTCTGGGGTATGATGAAATCTCACTGTTGTTTTAATTTTCATTTCTCTAATGGCCAGTGATGTTGAACATTTTTTCCTGTATTTATTGACCATTTGCACTTCTTCATCTGAGAAGTGTCTATTCATTTCAGTTGCCTATTTTTTTATTACATCTTTTGCTTTGGGGGGCATCTGATTTTTTTTTTTAGTTCTTTGTATATTCTAGATGTTAATCCTCTGTCCACAGAATAGCTAGTAAAAAAATTTTTTTTCCCATTCTATAGGTTGTCTCTTCACTCTATTGGTTGTTTCCTTTGCTTTGCAAAAGCTTTTCAACTTGATTTGATCCCATTTGTTGATTCCTGATGTTATTTCTTACGAAATTGGGCTCCTGTTCAGAAAGTCCTTGCCTGTGCATTTACCTCAAGAGTTGTACCTATTTTATCTTCCAGCAGACTGTTTCTGTTTCTTTCTCTTTTTTTTGGTACCGGGAATCGAACTCAGGACCTTGCGCTTGCGAGGCAGGTGGCGGCACCACTGAGCTAAATCCCTGGCCCTAAGCATTTCTGTTTCAACACTGGATCTTTGACCCATTTGGATTTGAGTTTCATGCATGGTGAGAGAAATGGGTCGGATTCAGTCCCCCAGCGCCATTTGTTAAGAAGCCATGTTTCTTCCACATGTGCTCCAGGGCCCTTTGTCAGAGTCGCAGGCCTGGCTCGCACCCATGTACCTTTCCACTTCTCTGAGTGCAGCCTTACCGAGAACTGAAATGGCAAAAAGAAGCTGAGGTGTAAACTTTGGGAATTCCCCTTTCGGGTCCCCAACAAGTGAACCATCGGCAGGAAAAGCCAAACTACACAACAGAACAAAGAACAAAGAGCAGTGTCTCCGCCAGGTGCCCTGGAGAGTCCAGAGCCTGAATGGCTGTGTGTGGGCTCCATCCCATGCGTGGGGAGGGGACGCTTCTGTGAGAGCTTCACACTCTTCCTCCAGAGACCAGTGTGTTGTGCCGTTCATTCTTGAGTCCCCTGCATCAGCTGAGCGGGCCAGTGTGGCAGATGCCATGTGGCGGAGTCCCCAAGAGGGCCCCTGCACGGGCCCTGCTGTGGAGGGGTTCACCTCACAGCTGGGGGAGCCATACCGTGTCAGGCGTCAGTGCTCCCGGAGTTTTCACTCCAGCAGCTGGTCCCAGCGGGGAGTCGGGACGAAGCCCCTGAGGTACAGATGGAGGCAGGATGGGTGAGCAAGGACAGGGCCAGACCCAGGGTCTGCTCTCCTGGACACATCGCTAGGCCTCTCGCTGCCTCCGCCCACTCCAGGGATGTTGAGACTCAAGTGAGGTGCAGGGTGGAAGGTACTGCTTACTCGGTCATCCAGGAACCCGGACACTGACTAAGCACCTCTCCTGTGCCAGCAAACTGCAAATGCTGAGAGTTCTCCAGGACATGTCTGTGCAGACACAAACAGCCACTTCTTACCTTAGATTCTAAAGAGAAAGAAAACTCTCACCATTTTTTTAGATGCTCTCACTTGCCTGGGTAAAGACTCTACTCCTTTCTGCTCAAATCTTTCTGTAGCTCTCTCTCTCGTTAGCCTTCGTGACCTCGGGTTCTAGACCAAACTGCTTGCAAGCCCAGGCCTCCCCTCAGCACCCCGGACCTGCCTGTCTAAGTCTGATGGGTACCCCAAGATGTCAGCCCATCCCGGGTGCTTGCCTGCTCAGGGCCCCTGACCCGGAGACCCCTGCTCTTCATACGCTGCTGCTGTCTGCTGTTCAGGACGCTACTCACTTGCTACATGCGGCTGTTTAACTCAGATAACATAGACACCTGTTCAGTGTGGCTGAGCGGGCCATACCGGAAATGCTCCATACCCACATGCAGCTGGATGGCACTGCACTGGGCAGTGCCTGGTCATAGCAGCCTTGTCCTGTGCCGTGGCCAGCAGGGATGGGACCCAGCGTCCCCTGCTTTGCAGGAGGGAGCCTGAGGGAAGCCTCTGGGACCCGGTGGACCAAAGTTCAAAGGAGAAGTTTCCATGCTGAACAGGGCGGGTCCGAGGCATCCCCATCAGAGGCCCTCCAGGGGCCCCACCGTGGTGTTTCTGGGGCGCACCTGGTTCCTACGCGAGCCCAGCTCTTCCCTGCTCCGCCCCCAGCTCCTCCTCCCCACTTCCTTCCTCTCCCTCGCTCTTCTCCTCCTTCCCTCCCGAGACGACGTCTATCCAATTTCCTCTCTCCTCAGGTCTCCTTGGTCTCTGCCGATGCCTTTGCCCACCTAAATGTCTCACTCGCCTCAAGCGGCTTTGCAAAATTGTTTTCCCAACAATACGTTTCTTCCCTAAGAAGAATCACGGTGCCAGCTGTTTCCAAAATAGTCATTTAGAAAAGCCTCCCGACCTGGGCTGAAAAGCAAGGCCTTGCTTTGATGGCACGAAAGCATCGGTTCAGCTGCTCTCTGCAGTGCAGCTGCCTTGCTGTCTGCCTGGAAGACCATGGCTTTGGGACTGTCCTTCCAGCAGCGGAAGACAGGAGGAGCCTGCTGAGGGGCCCCACCCTGTCCTTGTAACTCAACTCAGAAATCCCAGACACCCTTGTGGCAGCTGCCATCTCCTCCACAGAAAGGAACTGGTTGTTCCGGGGAACCCTGGGCACAGTCGTGGGCAGTTCTCCTTCAGAGCCATCCACACAGAGGATTCAGCCATAGCCTTTTGCCTCAGGGCAGGCGAGGTTCAATATTGCGGAGATAAACTACGCCGGGTGCTGCTCTTCCTAAAGCTGGTGGCAGCAGTTGCTTTGCTGGGAAAAGCTCTGAGATGTGAATCCTTTTTCCAAGTGTGTGGCCAGGCCCCAGAAGCACCAACCTCCAGTACAGCTGTATTGGCTTTCTGGTTGTCCTGGAATTAATTTAGGAAGTGAAGAGAATCTGGAGGCTGCTCACTGAACTGGTCTTTTGCCTGTTTTTGTTGTCGGCTGGGGTAACACAAGGTCACCGGTCTTGGAGTCACTTTTCTGAGCTTCAATCCCATTTCCTTAGCTTTAGATCAGAATAATTTCAAACCAAATTAGGGATAAGATGAAACGGTGCTTATGAGTATTGTGTGAAATTGTGAAGGGCTGTACCAGTGACAGAAGCCACCGTGATGCAAAATTGGTCCCCACATCCTCAATTCCTTACCACACTTTATGTCTTAGTCACTTTCTTATCACTGAGACCCTATACCGGCCACTCACAACTGTAAGGAGGAAAGGCTTATTCTGGCTCATAGCTTGTAGAGGTTTTGGTCTAGAGCTGCTCGGCTCTGAGGCAGGGTGGCCTGGCAGAGGAGAAACAGCTAGTGGCCTGGAGACAGGAAGCAGAGAGAGATGAAGGGGGAGGAGGGAGACAGACCCTACAGGCCACGCCCCAGTGACCCCCTCCTCTGACCAGGCTCCACCCCCCATATCACATTTAGCTATGAACTCATCCATGGGCTCATCCAGTCATGAGTCACACTCCATGATCCAGGCACCTCCCCAGAGCTCCACCTATGAGTACAGGAGGGGGACACCTAGATATAAACCGTAACACTTTGTCTCTATAGTATTCATCACTCCTTAACCTAAGCCCCACGTTTTTGTACACACAAGCATGCGCACGTGCGCACACACGCACACCTTCC